TCTTCACAGCTACTGGGAGAGGAAACACCCCGAGGTGTAGCTGTTATTTACAGGAACTCTCTGTTCCAAACGGATCCTTGCTTTTCTCGCTCAGAGCTGCAGTGGGAAGAGAGAAGGAGAAGGAAAGGGTGGAAAAAGAGGACAAATAAAAAGGGTTTTTTTGTACTGACATGCACTGGATCCGTGAAATCCATGGGGTTTGGTGCTGGTGCCCGTGGAGGGGATGAGGATGTGTCCCCCCAGTGCCAGGGGGGACCACAGCACCTAAAATCCTGATGAGAATTTAAGTGTTAATGTGCCCAGCACCTGAGGGCCAGAGGGGTGCGATTTTTATATATTCATTCTTTTTATACGGCTAATATTATTATTTGCATTATTCTATGGGTGGTATTTTTATAAGGCTGATGTTTTTATAATGAGGATATTTTTACATGGGCCACCTGCACGGAATCCAACGTTCTGCCCTAATTTAATGAATTTAAAAGGGAAAGCTGGACCCCAGTGTGGCGTTGTGGGGTGCATCAACCTCCCCCAAAGCCTCCCCCCAAATACCCGAGGGCTCCCTCAGTTCCAGGGGGAAGCTGAAAAACAGGGCTGGAAGCAACAGCGTGGGGCAGTCAGAGCAGGAATGTTTGGGTTTTCTTTTGCAACAGAAAACTGAAAAGGGGGAAAAAATAGCTGGAGCTTGGAAAGCTATTTTTTGACCATTCAGATATTAAATTGCGTGGAGTTTGGACGAAAAAATCCGCTAGGAAAAATGAAGACTATTTCCTTTGAGATCAGAGCTAACAAGAGTCTCAGCAAAAATCTTGTTTTATTCTCATTCCAGCCCAAACTCCAAAGCCCAGCCTCTGTTTTAATGACTCTGTTGTGACCAAACCGCCTTGGTAAATAATCTTTCAACTCGCACAAATTCTGAGACTACACAGGATGTAGGGGAAGGATCCTGACTCTTGCCTTGCCCACATCAAGCCCTTAACGAGCCGTGCCCAAACGAGCAATCAGCATCATTAGGGCCCAGTTCTTTTCCTCTGACACAGGAATGAAATCCTGTTCCTCTGAAATAGAACCAGGAGGCCCTGAGAGGTGCAGAGCACCCACACAGCACCCCCAGGGACCCCCTGGACCTGCAAAAAAATCACCCCAGTGGGCACCCCCAGCTGGAGCAGAGCCAGGTTCCCACTCTGGCATCATCTCCGTGGGCACCCACGGGGGGTTAATCCTCCTGCAGGGCCTTCCTGCTGGAAAGGACGGGGCTTTGTGGGGCTGGGGTGGGTGTTTTTGTGAATGCTGCCTATTTAGAAGCTAAATGATGGAAAACATGGAAAATTCATTAGGGTGTCTGGGCAAGTGTTGGGTTACACGTCATTCACATCCACTTACTCAGCGGGACCTCACGCCTTGGGGGAGAGATATATTTATATACATTCATATACATGGATTTTATACGGAGGAGTGGTTGGGGTTTTTTTGGTTTTTTGTTTTTTTTTTTTCCTCCTCCATTTAATTTCCAGACTGGCACAAAAATGAGACTTTTTGCTTCTCTTCAAAACTCGCTGCCCCCCCTCGGCCTGGGCTCTGTTCCCTTCCCACCCCTGGGAGGGAACCAGTGCCATTCCCACTGCTTGGAAAAGGCAGGAGCTGTTAGCCCAGGATCCATAAAGGTCAAATCCATGGCCAGGGCAGCACCTGCGGCCTGGGATCCCCACCTGGATGTTCCTTCAGTGAGGGATGAGAGCTGTGAGAGGAGCAGGGGGTGGAGGGCTGGTCCAGTGCCCGAAGTACAAAACCCGTGAAAAAAACCCCCAATCCCTCATTCCTGATAACTCAGAATTCCTCCAGTTTGCTGCAATACAAAACCAACCCAATGAAAACATTGTTCCAAGGTCATAGGAGCTGTTTTGTTCTGTTTTTCAGGGAGCTCTTTCTCCCCAGCTTCAGCCTGTCCTGACATCACCTTCCAGCCCTGAACCACATCAGAGATGCCACCAAGCAGGGCCGTGTCACC